TGTAAATGAAATTTGAATAAGCAAATTATGATCTGGTAGACATTTATTATGGAGGCTGAAAGAATTAAAGGTTCCTGCTCAACATGAACGACTTATTGGCATATTTTGGGCACCCTCTAAACATACTCCACAGTTGTAGAGTTTTTGGGCTTTGGCTGATATGCCAAAGTACTGAGTTTGTTTTCTTCCTCAACTCCTTGGAAGACAGTTGAAGTTAGAAGGAGATGAGCTAATAGTGGCCAATGGTTCAGAGTAGATTCGGAAGCCACTTTGATCTGGATCCAAACTATTATGTTTGGGTACATTATTTTACCTTCTAAACCTCAGTTTCTTGGTTGGAAAATGGATGAGTAATTCCTCCTGGGGTTAAAGGATTAAAGATGAGAAATGGAAGACCTGCCTGAGGCAGATTCTAAGGACTGTTTCCCAGGTAGAATGAGTGACGGACACTGAAACAAAGGTGGATAAAAGTGAATAAAAGCTTTAGGAAATATATGAGTAACCAATAATTGAATAATCAAATCTAGGATTTCTAAAATGGCTTTCATGGAAATTGAAAGGGAATTATAGAAATTGTGGCAAGGTATTATATAAAGAAAGGTTTATATAGTGCATTTGGGAAGTGCTGGGTTTAACAAAATTCTCAAAGCCCCCCAGTACTTCTTATAACCCAACGGCAGGTGTCTCTGGACATTTAATATTAATCTTGGCTATTCAAGAGGAAATAATGCATATGGTGTTTTTCAAACTTATCCATGCAGGGATCATTTTTATTATAGAATGTCTTGAACTTAGAACTTTAAGGAAAACATTTTAGGGAACATTAATCTAATATCAAGGTAATGCTAATCTTTACATTGCAAATGTGGGTTTAAAAATAACTTTTTTTAAAGAAGCACATTAAAATCACTTTCTTATTTTAATGGTTATTAATATTGACATTATCCTGAAAGCTATGCTGGAAATACTATAAATATTTAATTATTTAAAAATGGTAACATGGAAAAAAATATATATGTCAACTAAGTTGATTTAGTTCAACCTAATACAACAGTTAATTTTTCAATAAAGAACTTAAATCCATAAGTGTCAGATCACAAATGCACTTTCTAAATAATTACCAATTGGTTAAAAGAGAAATAACGATCAATTATCTCCTATGTTCCACCTACCATTTTTGACACATTAACAAACAAAGCAGATAAGATTCTTGTTCTGGTGTAACATACAGATACTCTTGGACTTACCATGGGGTTATGTCTGAATAAACCCATTGTAAGTTGAAAATATCTGAAGTGGAGAATGATTGAACATCGTATGAGTTACTTTAAATGTGCTCAGCACACTTACATTAGCTCACAGTCAGGCAAAACCACCTAATACAAAGCCTGTTTTAAACAAAGTCAAGAATGAATCAAATCTCAAGAATGAATCATAATGAACATCACTAGCCTAGGAAAAGATCAAAATTCAAAAGTCCCAAGTATGGTTTGCATTGAACATCTTTCATTTTTACACCTTTGTAAGTTGGGGACTACCTGCATTCTATTTGGCTGATGCAGAAAATCAGCAGTGAACACTATAAATTGGTAAATTATTTAGTGTATTGGTATAAAGTGATAGGTGCTGTGGGAAAAAATAGAGCAGGGCATAGAGTGTATGAGTGGCTTTTGGTGGTGGTTTGCAGTCTTAAGTAGCTTGTCAGGATAGGCCTAACTGATAAAGTGCTCTGAGAAATTATTTGAAGAAGGTGCAAAGGTCCTGGAGCTAAGGATCAAGAAGGGAGACAGTAGGTGGGATCAGGGAAGAGAGGAGAGAAGATAAGACAGGTAAAGGGGAACAAGACTAGGTAGTTTTGCATAGACTAAGGACCTCTCCAAGTCTCTTTATGAGAATGTAGAGCCCTGAATTAGGTGGGAACATCTTGTCATGGCAGCAGAGGAGTAACATCATCTGACTTAGTGTTTTAAGGGTTCGCCTCTGTAGCTAAGTAGAGCCTAGATTCTCAGAGTCACGGGTGGAAGCAGGGAGAGAATGGTGGAACTTTCTAATGATTCAGCTGAGCGTCAGGGACAGCAGATATAGTAAACCAATCAGACCTCCTTTGAGTATGGTGTGACAGGAGAACTGGATGGGTTGTAAGTGACAGTGGGCAAAGAGAGGAATTAAGGCTGACTGAATTTTGGCCAGTGGGCAGAGAGGATGGAGTTTGCTGTCACGTGACTTGGAGAATGCGGTGGGCAGAGAAGGTTTGTGGGCAAGGACTGCCTTTCAGTTTGGACCTGTTAGGTTTGAAGATGTCTGTTAGATATGAACGGGGAGACTGTTTAGGCTCTTTTTCTTTCTTTTTCTTTTGTGTGGTGCTGGGGATTGGACCCAGGGCCTTGTGCATGCAAGGCAAGCCCTCTACCAGCTGAGCTATATCTGCAGCCCTCTGTGTAGGCTCTTGCTGTATATGAGTCTAAACCTTGGAGTGAGATCTGCACTGGAGATGTACGTTTCTCTTTGGCATTCAGATGACATTAAAGTCCTGTATCGTTTAGATGTGGTGTCCCCAAAAAGCTTACATGTGAGATAATGCAAGAAGGTTTGGAGGAGAAATGATTGGGTTATAACATTGATCAAATCAGTAAATTAACCCCCCCCCCCATGGGATTAACTGGGTGGTAGCTGGAGGCAAGTGGGGTATGGATGGAGGAAGTGGTTTACTGGGGCCGTGGCTATGGTGTATATGTTTGTTTCTGGAGAGTCGTCTCTCTTTTTCTCTGCTTTCTGATCAATGTGTTGCCTACTTCTCTCTGCCACACTCTTCTGCCATGAGCCACAAGGAATGGAGTCTTCTGTCTATGATTGAGACCTCTGAAACTGTGAACCCCAAATAAACTTTTCCTCCCCTATAAGTGTTCTGGTCAGGTCGTTTAGTCACAGCAGTGAAAAGCTCACTAAAACAAGCCATAACACTTGTTGAAATAATACTGGTTCCTGATTCTCCTCCTGTGCTTTAGGTCTTGCATGAAGTTTGGCCTGTAGTCCCAGCAATGGACTCCCGTAACCCAGACACTTTTGATGATGAGTGTGGTCCACAGAAGAGGCTCAGAGCAGCAGGATGCCCCAGTTTAGAAAAATTACTTGTCTTCAAAACTTTTCTTTCCTTATAGTCTGGGTAGGGACTGAAAAATTCTGCTTCTTAAATTCTTCATCCTTGGTTGTAATTTATTGAATTAGGATTTGTGATTTATAGAGAAAGTCCATGTTTTCTCTTCTTATTTTGTTTTTACCTTTCTCCCTGCCAGGCTATGAGAGCCCCCAGTTTGATCGAAATAAAAGTAAGCATTTTATATAAAATGATAAAGTTGAGATGTTACTTGATGATTTAAACCCATTTAATTGCAGATGATGCTGTCTGAATACCAGAGAGTGAGGTCAAAAATGCCCCCTGCCATTGAGCAACTGATGGCCCCCCATCTGGCTAAAGTGGACAGAGCTCTCCAGCCAGGCTTGGCTGCGCTGACCTGGACATCGCTGAATATTGAGGCATACTTAGAAAACACTTTTACAAAGATCAGTAAGTTTGTCTAAATGGTTACTATTTCTCAGATTTAAAGGCTTATTTCTTAATATCTGTTGTGAAATTTCTTATCAATGTGGTGATATAAATGAGATGAGATGCTGCAGTCTGGCTGGGCACAATTCACGAGCCACTTATCAAGCAGAAACAAACTTTATTTTTAGAACACGCACCACACAGCTCTTCAGGAATTCCCTCAGAGCCCAACTGCCACCACCGGCTTCCCACGAGCCTCTCCACCCCTAGCTCCTCCTGCTCTTGAGGCCCATTGGCTGGGTCGTGTGGGCGGAGCCAAAAGAGTCCCCCAATGAGCAGCTCCGTGGTCTGAAAGGGTGGGGAAATAGCCCAATGAGCATCACCGCAGAGGAGCTAATAAGCTGACAGCTAGAAGTTTGCTGGGGCCGCTGTGAGCCAATCAGCTGGAAGTTTGCTGGGGCCCCTTCTGCTGTGGCTCTCAACAATGAGAATTCCTCCAAAGCTGTTCCATAAGAAATTTTTTCAAGGTATACACTTTCAGTAATCTACTGAAAACTGTAAATATTCAGTATTAAGTTTGTTCCCATAGATAACCACGATTTTTCATTTATTTTTACTGTTGGACATTTGAATTTAAAGGATCTTTAGAGTCTTTTAACTTGTAATGCTAGTTGGTTAGTGTGTTTTTAGACCCTGATTTGAAAGATATGGAGGTTGGTATGGAACAGAGAGCTGGACAACAGGGAACTGTAAGTAGGAAAAGTTGAAGGAAACATCATTTTTCCTTAGTGGGGGATATAACAATTTTGAAAATGTAGGTGAGGTGGTATATTCCATAGTTACAATTTCCCAGAATGTGTACAGGTTTGTTGCAAAGGTGGAATCTGGGCTCAAATACATCTGGGAAGCCCACCTTAGTAGCTGGACAGATTTCTTCTTGGAGGACTTTGCAGAGCCTTTAATATGCATGGCCACTGGGTCTCCAAGAAGAGCTCTTGTCCAGGTGGCTTGGGAGGCTGAGACAGGAGGATTCCTAGGTCAAAGCCAGCCTCAGCAGAGGTGAGGTACTAAGCAACTCAGTGAGACCTTGTCTTTAAATAAAATAGAAAAGAGGGCTGGGGATGTGGCTCAGTGGTCGAATGCCCCTGATTTCAATCCCTGGTACAAAAAAAAAAAAAAAGAAGAGCCCTTGTGTGGGTGTTTTCCAGAGTTCTTTGACTCCTAGGAGAACATCTGAACCCCTCCCTCGTACTTCTGTGGTGAGCAGGGAATATAGTCTGGGTCATGGTAATGACAGATTTTTTTTCAAAGACTTTCCTGTTATATCCAATGTCATCTGCCCTAACCTTTTCGTGGGTCAATTCTGCCCACTTTTTATAGCCCAGAGTAAGTCTCACTCCAGGAAGCCCACCAGCCTCCAACCCTTGTGACCACATCCTCCTCCTGTGATGTCTGTTGCGTTGACGGTAGAGACGGGGGCTCTGTATTTCAGCTCTCTTTAGTGGTTTAATCCAATTTCATCTTTCTCCCCAAAATGACTGCAAAGGGTTTAAAAAGCCAGCAGTCTCTTTAACGTCTGTTGTGCGCTCAGTTGGGTGGAGTGGACACCCATGCACTCACACATTCCTCACTGCAGGAGACTTAGGCAGTCCGTCTCTGTTTCCTTACCTTCCTCACCCTATTCTAGCTCTTCCATCCTGTCTCCTCATTTTTGGGTCAACTCTTCCTTCGTGGCCCTTCTAGATACCTCTTGTGGTGCTTTTTATCATTCTCTCTCTTTCTTCCTTAGGTCTTTCTCTAGGTCTGATGCTTGGAATTAATGAGGTAGAACCTGCTTCTTTTTTATAGCTTGTGTTGTCAAGGGCTTGTCTTACCTGTAGGTTTTCACTGTACCTTCTGAATGCCTTTAGCTCAACAGTGTCTACTTGTTTAATTTGCCAGGTGTTGTATACTCAAGAATAATTGATGAGTACCTGGTTGGGGACAGGCAGTAGAGTGAAGAATTATTGTCGAATCACCCCTCCCTTTTGTTCTGCTTCACAGATTGGGAATTGGATTCAAGGCAAATTTGTTAAAATATTTTTATTTGTTCTTTTTAGAGATGCATGACAATAGAATGTATTTTGGCATATTACACATACATGGATTATAACTTATTCTAATTAGGATCCGATTCTTATGGTCGTACATGATGTGAAGTTATCCTGGTTGAGTATTCAATACAAGGCTAGGAAAGTTACGTCTGATTAATTCTACTGTCCTTCCTCTTCCCCTCCCTACTCCCTTCACTTTATTTCCTTTTATATAATCCAATGAGCTTCTATTCTTCCCCTCTTCCCCTTTCTTGTTGTGGGTTAGCATCCACATATCAGATGGGGACTGATATCATATCATATCATATCAGTTTTGGGACTGGCTTATTTCACTTAGCAAGATATTCTCCAGTTCCATCCAGCAAATTCCTTAATTTCATTGCTTTGTATTTTTTTTCTATTTGCTAAGAGTTGCCTTGTGGCCTAAGATATGGCCTATTTTAGAAAATGATCCATGTGCCGCTGAGAAGAAAGTATCATAAGTCATTGATGGATGAAATATTCTATGTATGTCTGTTAAATCTAAATTGTTAATTGTATTTTTTAGTCCTATAGCTTCTTTCCTTAATTTTTGTTTCGAAGATCTATCAATTGATGAGAGAAGAGTGTTGAAGTTACCCAGTATTATTGTGTTGTAATATATTCGACTCTAGAGATTTGAGTTTGTTTGACGTATGTAGATGCTCCATTTTGGGGAGCATAAATTTTTAGGATTATTATGTTTTGTTGAAGCAGTATTAAATGGCCTTCTTTGTCCCTTCTAATTAATTTTAAGTTGAGGTCTACTTTATCAGGTATGAGGATAGAAACCCATGTGAATGGCAAGTTTTTTTCCCTATTCTTTATTTTTGGTCTAAGAATATCTTTGCCTATAAAGTAAGTCTCTTGGAGACAGCATAATGTTTGGTCTTGTTTTTAAATCCAATATGCTAGTCTGTCTTTTGATTGAGTAGTTTAGGCCATTTACATTCAATGTTATTATTGAGAAATGATTCTTATTCCCTGTCATTTTGAATTATTTCTGTTTTTTGAGTTAGTTTCTCTTTTGATTGACTATTATTCTAGTGTAGCTTCTCTTTTTGCTAATTTCCAGTTTTATTTTTTATTTTTTCTTCATGAAATATTTCATTGAGAATGTTTTTCCATGTGGTCTTTGTAGTTGTAAATTCTTTTAACTTTGTTATTATGGAAGGTTTTTATTTCATTGTCAAATCTGAAGCTTAATTTTGCAGGGTATTATAGTATTCTTGGCTGGCATCTATTTTCTTTCAGAACACAGTATGTATTATTCCAAAGCCTCCTAGCTTTAAGAGTGTGGGTTGAAAAATCAGCTGAAGTCCAAATTGGTTTCCCTCTAAATGTGACTTATGGTTTTTCTCTAGCAGCCTCAAAGACATGTTGTAAAGGGGACCTTTAATATGAATGAAGTGTATTTCATACTCATTGTAGCTTAAAGGTAGGATAATATAAAATGTATTATCAGGCAAGCATTGCATTGTAGAGGTGGAAAAAAACAGTAGAAACAATTTTAAATAAGACCCTCAATTTCAGGGTTGGAAAACTGTGGTTCAGAGTTGCTAAATGATTTCTAATGGCACACAGATATAAGCAGTCAGGATGAGTTTAGAACCCAGTTTCCTTGCCTCTAAGCTAGTATTCTTTCCAAAATATTTCTTATAGGAAATAAAACTATATGAAATTGACTAAAAGTCTCTAAGGACTCATTTATAAAATGTATAAATGTTTCCTAGTTAGAATTATCACAATCAAATTAGAACAGTCTTCCAAGTAGGCTTGCATGTCCTCTCTGAGAGTGTGAGGATTAGATGGCTAGCAATTTGGATGTTTATTAGAATGTTAGCTGGAGACAAAGAGATATTTTCTAAAGAAAGTCTTCTTAGTTCTCATATTTCATTATGTCTTTCTTTTTGTAATTTAAATAGAGAGAATAAAGCAGAACAGGATTAAATTTCTTTAGGAGACAAACTATGTTAGACAACTATGTTACATCTCAAGAACAGCTGGATTCCTTATTGGGTTAAGTGAGCCAACCCTTCTGTTTACAGATAGTTGCCTGTATCATGTATTTCTTCTAAAAGAGTTTTGGCTACTTTCAAAATAAAAATCAGAACTTATAAAGACTTAATTTTGTATATTCTATGCATAAATGTTGTTAGGTATTTTTTTGGTATTGATGTCGTGACAAGTTGTCACAAACTTAGTGGCATAAAATCATTTAATTATGGAGGTCAGAAATCCAAAGTGAGTCCTTGGGGCTAAAATCAAGTGCCACCAGGGGAAACTTTTTTCCTTAGCCTCTTCTAGCAGGCAGAGGCTACCTACACATGCTGTCCCATGGTCACTCCATCTTCAAAGCTAAGAGCATAGCATCTTCAAATCTCTCTCTCTTTCTCTGCCCCCTGATTCCATGGTCATATTCTTTCTCTGACTCTGACCTTCCTGCCTTCCTCTTACAAGGACCCTAAACTAGGGTCCTAGACTCTAGACCTTATGACTACTTTGGCACTATCTGGATGATTCAGCACAATCTCCATGTCTCAATATCCTTAACACATCTGCAAAGGCCCTTTTGTCACATAAGGTAACATTCCCAGGGAATTAGGATGTGAAAATCCTCATAGGAACTTTTTTAAACTTGCCATAAATGTCCTTGAAGATGCTTCAAAGAATCTGTCAGGTAGAAATAGTAAAGAATTTCATTGAGTACAGCTGCCGAAATACAAATGTCAGCTCTCCTTTCGTACTCAAGAAGACTACCAGAAGGAACTGCTTGGTGTCTTGAAGAGCTGTATGTAACATTGTGTTGTCTTCGTTCAATTTCAACTTCATTTCCTAGGAGAAAGTACCGTTGGAACAACAGAGATTTGATTGTACGGTGTCTGTTGAAAAATGTATGACCCATCAGGGGGATGCCCATTAGCCATCCTTCCTTGTTTTGATGTGGAATTGTTAGCTTTCCTCAGAGTTGCCCTTCAATCCTTGGAACGTGGTGTTCAATACCACCTCAGCAAAACTAAAAAAAGTATCCCTTATGATAGTAACGTGAGAAAAATAGAGGAATTTCACTTTAAGAACACTGTTTTGGAAACCTCTCCTGGAACAGGCTCCGGGATGCATGTTGAAGCTGTAGGATGAAGACATGGGTTTCAGAGGGAGTCAGCCTATGAGCGGACAATGCGCAGCACTCAGATGAAAGGGTGCTCAGGCTGTGGTGTTGGCACAGGAGGAGGCAGGCCCTCATCCATGCAGGTCCACAGGAAGCCTGCTGTGGACAGGAGCCGGGGCTAGGCAGGCTGGGAGAGCTGAAAAACTGCTCAGGAGGGACGGGGAGAAGGCCAAGGTGGAACTCTGGAGTGTCCCAGGGACCTATGGAAACTGAAAAGTGTTGCTCCTGCCGTTGCTGCTGGCATCTAATCGTGTGTGTGTGTGTGTGTGTGTGTGTGTGTGTGTGTGTGTGTGTGTGTGTGACAAAATGCTTTCCTTCATCTCCTTCATTTGCTTTTGTTTTTCCAAAGAGGACCTGGAGCTGCTGCTTGACAGAGTCAAGGATTTGATTGAGTTCCGCATCGACGCCATTCTAGAGGAAATGAGCGGCACCCTGCTTTGTCAACTCCCCCAGGAGGAGCCACTCACCTGTGAAGAGTTTCTCCAAATGACAAAGGTCATTAGAAAATGGATATGTTTTACTAAGAAAAGTTTTCCTGCAGTTTGCTTTTCTGTAAAGGGCAGTTTTAGAAGCAGACATTGGATTCCTTTTTCTTTCTAGTTGCGATTGCTTGGTGGCAGATATAATTCAAACACGGAACCTTCTGACAATAGTACCTAAGCAGCCACTTGGACACGAGGGGAAAGTCACCTCTTTTCACATCACTGAGGGAAAGTACCATGGGACACATTTCTAATTTTTCCATAGCTTATGAAGAGTAGAGCCTTGTTGTAGAAGAGCTTCTCCTAATCTAGGGGTCACCAATAAAACAGTTGCTCTGAGCAGCGTCTGGGCAGGGTCTCTCCCTGTGTGTGTCAGTGGAGCAGTATTCCCAAACTGGTGTTCCGTGGCACTCAATTCTGGAGCCACTTCTAGGAAACCTGGGACAGGCGGGTTGATCCATCCTTATCAGCTAGACAACAGAGGGAACCCTCCAGAATTCTGAGCTCCCAGATGCCAGCTAGGGGCCAACCTTGCAATCAGCCTTTCCAAGGACACCAATCTCAGTCCTGTGTAAACCCCTTTCTGCATGCATAGAAATCTTCGGTTTAAATGGAATCATTCTTACATAACTGAAATGTAATGTCTGTGGTTCCTCATTGTCATGCTCCTCACTGTGGGTAAAATTTTTAAAATTTTTTTGGTTTTTTAACTTTGTTCTAATTAGTTATACATGACAGTAGAATGCATTTTGACACGTTATACACAAATGGAGCACAGCTGCTCCTTCCTCTGGCTGAACATGGTGCCGAGTCGCATGGGTTGTGTAATCATATATGTATATAGGGTAGTAATGTCCATTTCATTCCACTGTCCTTCCCATGCCCACAGCCCTTCCCTCCCTCACTCCCCTCCGCACTATCCAAAGTCCCTTTATTCTCCCCCACTCCCATTATGGATCATCATTCACTTATCAGAAAATACATTCAGCCTTTGTTTTTTGGGGAGTTTGGCTTATTTCACTTAGCATACTATTCTCCAGCTCCATCCATTTACCTGTAAATAGTATAATTACACTATTCTTTAAGGCTAAGTGACATTCCATTATGCATATGTTGATCTGTTGAAGGCATCTAGCTTGGTTCCATAGTTCAGCTATTGTGAATTGAGCTGCTATAAGCATTGATGTGGCTGCATCACTGTGTTTTGCTGATTTTAAGTCCTTTGGGTGGTATAAACCAAGGAGCAGGATAGCCTGGTCAAATGGTGGTTCCATTCCAAGTTTTCTGAGGAACCTCCATACTGCTTTCCAGAGTAATTGCATCAATTTGCAGTCCCACCAGGAATGTATGAGTGTGCCATTTTCCCCACATCCTCGCCAACACTTATTGTTTCTTGAATTCTTGATGATTGCCATTCTGACTGGAGTGGGATGAAATCTTAGAGTAGTTTTGACTTGCGTTTCTCTAATTGCTAGAGATGATGAACATTTTTTCATGTTTGTTGATCAATTGTATTTCTTCTAATGTGAAGTGTCTATTCAGTTCCTTTGACCATTTATTGATTGGGTTATTTTATTATTATTTTTTTTTTGGTGTTAAGTTTCTTGAGTTCTTTATATATCTTGAAGATTCGTGCTGTATCTGAGGTGCCTGTGGTAAAGATTTTCTTCCATTCTGTAGGCTCTCTCTTCACACTATTGTTTCCTTTGCTGAGAAGAAGCTTTTTTGGTTTGAGTCCATCCCGTTTATTGATCCTTGTTTTTATTTCTTGTGCTTTAGGATTTTTGTTAAGGAAGTCAGATCCTAGGCTGATGTGGTGAAGATTTGGGCCTATGTTTTCTTCTATTAGGTGCAGGGTCTCTGTTCTAGTGCCTGAGTCTTTGATCCACTTTGAGTTGATTTGTGTGCAGGGTGAGACACCGAGGTTTAATTTCATTTGGCTACATGTGGATTTCCAGTTTTCCCAGCACCATCTGTTGAATAGGCTAACTGTGGGTAAATTTGATCCCTGCCCAACCTTCTGACTCTTTTTTGTTCTCTTCCCATCTAAAAAAAACACTTAGCTGCACTGTTTATAAAAATAAAAAGTTTTAAAAATTTTCAAAGCAAGTTTTAGAATATTTTAAAAATGGGAAGCTTGGGATCCGAATCCTGATGCCACCATTGTTGTAATTGCCATGTGTTTTATGCCTCTCAAAGCTGTGCTCCCTACTGGACGCACAACTGAGTTTGCATCCTGCTTTGTTCTTCCCCAGTTAACATTTCTCCCAAACTAGACTTTGTGTTGCTATCTGGCTTTCATAGGCACCATTTTAAAAATGGCTTTGGGATATTTTACTAGGTGGATGTGCTACAATTTATTTGCCAGTTTCTTATTGCTGGACATTAAATGGCTTCCAAAGTCTTTCTATTTTTCCAAGAGCTGCAATAAATATGTTTATATATCATGTTTTACCTTTTCAGAATTATTTCCTCTCTCAAAATAAGATTACCGTGTCAAAGAGCACGGCTTTACTTGAAGGCTCTTGATATTCACAGCCAATTGTCTTTCAAAAAGGACACTATCAACTTAGAATGCTGCTGGCATCCAGCAGTACCAGCCTCACCACCCCCAGGGAACACGGTTTTATTGTGTCTCCTGATTTTAGTTTAAGTAGCAAAATCATGTAACATAAATTGATTTGCATTTCCAATCACCAAAGTAAATGAATGCTTTTTGTTGGACTTTTTTAGACTTTTCACAATCTATTTATTTGTTGCATTATTTTTGGAGCACCTATGCCAACCAATGCTGGGACACAGCAGTAAATAAAATGTGAAATCCCAGTCATGCAGGAGCCCACTTTGCAAGTGGACAATACAGAAAAACAAACAAAAAGCCTATGAGTACACATGTCAGCTTGTGATAAATTCAATGGATAACAATTAAGAGGGTAATGGGGAAAAGCAGTGCCTAACCCAGAGTTGTGACTTTACACTGATGGTTTGGGGTGACTTTTGTGATTACATTTGAACCGAGGAAGCGAGGAAGGGAGCCATGTGAATAGCTTTGGGGAAGAGCTTTCCAGGCAGAGGGGACAGCAAGGGCAAAGGCCCTGAGGTAGAAACATGTGGTTTGGGCAGCTGGAGGGAGGTGTTGAGATGAAGTACATGGAATGCGTTGATATGCTGGGGCAGAAAATCAAGCAGAGAGGGAGAAAGATGGTTGGTAGTCTTGTCCCTGGAGAAGCTAGGGAGGCTCTGACTCAGAACTTAGTGTGTGAGATTATTCTTTCCTTATTTTTTTTTTTTAAATATTTTTTTCTTGTCAACGGACCTTTATTTTATTTATTTATTTATATGCAGTGCTGAGAATTGGACCCAGTGCCTCACATATGCTAGGCAAGCTCTACCGCTGAGCCACCACCCCAGCCTGAGATTATCTTGAATAGGAGGAGAAAACCACTGCGTTCACTCCAACAGGAGGAAGTGGTGGAGGCTGGCTTGTCTTCCTGGGAGGGCTTGGGCGTGGGGAGCTGGGTGAGTCTCCATTTGCTTCTGGTGGAATGTGAGGGGCAAGGGTGGTTAAAGACAGGAGGACACAGGTGTTGTGGAGCCAGGTAGAGGAAGCGGCGGTGGCCACGTGGAGCGGTTCCTGGGTAGCGTTAGGGGATGGTTGAGTCCGGGGGCTGTGAGCTCCCAGCTGCGAGCCTCTGCATGGCCATGATGTGTGTGGGCAAGAAGAGAGGGTGGGTCGCCTGTAGAGGCTGGGCCTCACCTGGGAGGGTGGCCAAGGGCCGAGGGAGTGATGGGCTAAAGGATATCAGCAAAAGATTTGCTGAAGTGAGGCAGGTTCTCACTAGAAGGAGTGAGCTGGGGGCAGAGTGAATGGAGCTGGGGAGAACTTGGGGGCCGGAGGGCTCCTGGTCTGCCAAAGCCGAAGTATCGTGGGGATGAGGAAATCCTGGAGCTCCATGTGGGTCCACAAGGGGAGGCGGGTCAGGTTTGGTAACAGATCCATCTGGTGGTTTCAATGTGCGGATGTCACCACTGAGGTGGGTTGTCAAGTGGGGTGAGTGGAAGCCGTGGGTTTGGCTTATTTTGCTGGATACAGGGGCATTTTAATGAACCTTTTGTACTGTATCCTCGTTCTGTTTATACTCTGCTTTATTAATTTCTATGCTGTTTATATGATTTTTATAATCACGTCCTCTCAGAGAGAAAGAATTAAGGGATTTACACAAGGCTGTTAGAACTACATTAGTCTTTGAGAGCTTGTTGATTCTGTCTTCCAGAACCCTCGATATCAAGGCGTTTTGTGGTTTCAGATGTGTGTTTTATTACGGAGGGGTCTGGAAGGACTGGGGGAAGGTCACTGAGGATTTCCTGGAGAGCTGGCTTTGAGAGCAGAGATCACATCATGGCCCACGTGTGCTTCTCTCCTCAAGGCAGTCAGAGGACTGAAGATGCAGACTTTGAAAATGATTAGCACTCTCTCAGGGAATGAGGAGCTAATTCACACAGAATGACGAGCTGGACAGACACTTAGTTCCTGTGGATGTGAGTCATTTGCTGACCATTACTAATAACCAAGTCCTCCAGTACTTTGTGGCCAGCCCTGCGCTGGGCACTTAACGTGTTATCTTAGGGAATGCTTGCAACCATAAAAGGTGGGTTCTTCCCTTATCACCAGTTTACAGACAGGAAAACTGAGGCCAGAGAAGGATCTTCCATATCACCCAGAGCTGGGATTGGAACCCAGGAAATTTAGTACCAGGGTCTATACTTGTTACTAGATGATACTAACTTCATTCCATCCCTTATCTACTCTCAGACCCGCCTCTACTTTTTTTTTTCTTAATAACTGCTTCTCTCTTTTTTAGTTGTCTCTAAGCTCAGGGTTGAGATTGGTAGTTGGGTATAGTTCTGACTTGAGAGTGAAGTTATTTTATGCGTTGATGATAAAGAAGCTTGGTTGTATGTTTCAGTGTACATTAGAATGTTCCTGTGTTGATGGCATCCAAGTGCCGTGTGTCACAGCAGTGGAGTGGAGGTGAAGGTCATGCACCAGCAGGTGACAGAGCCAGGAGACTGATGTTTGATGTGGAAGGTCCAGGAGAATATTAGAATTTCAAAGTGCATAAAAGAGAAACTTGAAATGAAGCTGGAGACTGTGGCCAGTTGACAAAAATCTCTTGCTTCATAGGCTTATTTTCCAACCAGTGGTAAATAGCTGATTTCATATATAGTGCTACAGAATCCATCACAGCGCTCCCAATCATGTTTTAATTCATATTTATAAAATTTTATTCCTGAGAAATGCATAATTAAGTTGGACAGGAGGGAAATAGACCTGAAATCAAGTAGGAGATAGCTGTGCCCTTTTGGCAAAGATGAGGAGAAAAGAAAGGCTAGCTAGAGCAGATTATGCAATATGACGGGAATGTCACAGAACGAGGCTACTGGTGGATCTGGGATTGCTGTCCTCCATGCTGGAAAAGCAAATGTAATTTTGGCTTGTCAACATTGCTCCAGGGTTTCCCTTGTCTGCAGTGCATTCAGAGGAGGCCTGGCGGGGGTGGGGGTGGGTGTGGGGGTGGGGGTGGGGGTGATGGTACAGGAAGGATGAGGGCCAGCATCACTGCAGCCTAAGTTCTCCCCTGGAGCTGAACCTGTAGGCTTGCTGCTGTTCTTCAGGAACTCTCAAGAGCCAGATAAACAACGATGACATGTGATAATCATTTTTATTTGGTAGGACCTTTGTGTAAATGGTGCTCAGATACTCCATTTTAAAAGCTCATTAGTGGAGGAAGCAGTCAATGAGCTCATCAACATGTTGTTGGACCAGCAAGTTCCACCCAAGGAGGAAAAAGTGTTCAATGAGAATCATATTGATTCAAAAAGTGAAACTTCAGGTAAGAGGTGCGGTAAAAAAAGGGTTTTGTTTTTCTAGGACATTTGTTGAAAACTACAATTTAATTTTCTACAGAGTGACTTAATTCCACAGTTCTGCAAATGCTGTCTCAATTTTAGAGTGATATTTATGTCTGAAATTGTGGTTCTGAGCAAGTTGTAATGACTCCATGTTGCTAATTCCCATTTTTTTTTTTTGGTGTGTGCTTGTTGAGTTCTGCAAACATGTACTTTTCCTGGGTCCTCTTTGTCACTTAGCTCTCTTTTGATTTAAGCCGGGGGAGGTGTTTTACTTCAGTTTACCTGTAGAGGAGGGTGGATTATGGGTCATGGATTGGAATTCTCCTTGAAGTCATTGCAGACTAGAGCAAAGCTTTTGCTGCACAGTCAAGAATGCTACAAGTGGAGAAGGAAAGTGGTTCTAAAGGGGTTTAGAGCGTTGGTGGGAGAGAGAACCAGCCTGTGGGCTCAGTGGCTGCAGCACCCAGAGCTCCTGCATCTCTCATTGGCTGTCTTCTCAGGCGGAGGAAGACTGTAATGGCCTCACTTTCTAAGAAGCATGACACTTAAGTGACATCAAACTTGTCTGTCATCTGTCTTAATTTCTCCATTTAGTTGTGGCCTCTCTCTTTCACCCACCTCTATTTGTGTCATATCATAACAGCAAAAAGAGAGGAAGGAACTTCTGATGCCTTGACATCGTCCCTTAATGCTGGGGCTGGCCCACTGTCTTTGACAGCAATTCCCAAAAAGAAGAAACAGCCTGAGATGGTGGAGGCGGCCTGCGAGTTGCTCTCTCATTTCAACCACCAAAACGCAGAAGCTCTTCTGAAAGTGACCAGGAACACTCTAGAGGCCATTCGCAAGCGCATCCATTCCTCCCACGTGATGAATTTCCGGGGTAACAATCCCACACGGTTTGCAGGGTGGCTGATCAGGTGTAGTTGTGTGTGTGTGTGTGTGTGTGCGCACACACACTACATTCCTGATAAATTTAAAGAATTAAGAAACTCCACCATTTATTGAGTGCCTCCTTGTAAATTTCAACATTATAAACGTTGCTCATCCCAACAGTTCTAGAAGCGGATACCCTCACCACTCATGTTGAAGTGGAGAAAACTGGAGCAGGGAGAGGTCAAATTAATTTCCTTAAGGTTACTTACCTTTGTTAATGGCATAAAAATCAACATTACTTTCAATCTTTTGGTAATAAAATGAAAATATATAAAATGAATTATTTTAATCTGAGAAAGGAAAAGCACATACTTTGAAAGGAAGGCATATGGAAAAGATTGTTTCATTGTTAAATCATTGGGTTATTGGCCTATCTTGTAACGTGGAAAGAGTTTGCTAAAGTCACACTTATCTTCTTGACCTGCCTGTACTTCCTAGGGCCTTCCCTGTGCTGGCATTTAAGAGACGGCACTTGACATTTAGTTAAAAGTGGATACATGAAGTTTGGGGTTTTGAAAGAATGTTTTGTTGGTGGCATGGTTTATAATGTTTTATTTCACTTCAGACACAGGGTTATATTAGAAATTTTCAAATGTGGGTTGGTGTGCTAAATATTAAATCACAATTATTTATCAACTTCATACATTAAAGGTATTTCTACCTAGATAAAGTTATGTGTGCTACATACATATATACCCATCTCTATGTATCTATGTCTATAACTTATCTATACCTAGCTTTAAGAGCCTGTTGATATGGGTGGTGAGTTACATTTTATTTCCTTTTCATTTTTGTTTTTAGCTGTTCTCAGGGTAGAATATACACTCTGGTAGAGAAGGCATGTTTTATTTGAAATTACAAACTGTGGTTTGTTTTAATTTTGGCTAGTTTTGGTAGTTATTCTCATTTTTCATTCTTTGCGTATTTATTCTTCATTTAACTAATTTATCGGCATTCAGTTATTTGGACAATATCATCTTTAATAGTTTAGATAAAAATTTATCCTTAAGCCTGATCCTTCGTAGTAGGTTTCCTTTATGGATAGTAGGCCGACAGATTATAATTAACAGAAAATGACTTGGGTTCCACTGAACTGCTCTCTATTAAGCAAACCAAAAGCTTTTTTTAAAATTCATTCACTCAACTAATATTTGCCTGATAATATATCTACTATGTGTTGTTCTAGGTGCTTTAATCGTGGTTAGAAATGAAGTAAGTCCCGTTTTCGAATTAAAAATATTAATCCTCTACTGTTTTTTTTTTTCTGTAACTCAGACAGCAATAGTGCATCTAAAGCAAAGCAGAACAATCTGCCTATTTTCCGAGCAAACATCACTCTGGCCATTCCCAACATTGCCATGGCGCCTGCCTTGGAAGACGTACAGCAGACCCTGAACAGAGCTGTGGAGTGCATTGTCAGTGTGCCCAAGGGGGTCAGACAATGGAGCAGGGAGCCCTCGTCCAAGGTGGGCCTGGGATGGGAAAGCTGTTTCATGTGGAAGCTGTTTATTTACAGATAAGACAAAGCTGAAAAATATCCCTTTACATTGTAGAAAAAGGCACATGAAAGAAAAATGGCTGCCCTGCACAATAATGAAGAGAGTGATTCTGAGGTCGAAATGGAAGACAATGAACTTCAAGGTAAATGCTCCTTGTGTTCTTCTAAAGTATTGTAAATCAAGATTTATTGAGCTTCAATGTACCCTCCCGCAACCCCTATAGGATTCTCTAATCAAGCAAGAGCAGCGTATCAATCTATGAACCAATTTTAAGTCTATAAAATGTCAAGATCTGCGTATTTTAATATTTCTGCGTCAACACTGTGGTCTGCTTCTAGGGGGTTGACCGCATCTGTTTTTGCTGATTTTTGGTCCAGGCTAATAATGAGAACTGGAGGCAAGAAAGGTTTTAATTTGTCAGTGTAAAGAGCCACTCACCATCAGCACAATGAACGTTTCCTGGCACTAAGAGATGTTTTTCACTTACTCTGTTTCCGTTTTGTTAACATCTTGTGAGTGTCACTGTGTGTCTGGTGGCTTTTATTTGTGTTATGTAAAATCCGACAGCCTAAGACACCCAAGTTGCATGTGGTATTAAATGTTGTCCTTGGTCCTCACACTCCCTTAAGTCAGCCCCACAAACCCCAGCCCCTGTGTAGTCCTGTTGGTGTTTACCTCCCCTGAAGCGATAAATCAACTAGCCAAGGAAGAAACTGAGGTGTGAGTGGGCTGGGAGTGACGTGAGAGGCCCTGGGTTCCATCCCCAGCATCACAAAAATAACCAAACCAGATCAAACAAAAACAAACCAAAAACAAAAGTGTTGCTGGAGGATAAATACAGCACAGATCAACTTTCCCTATGACTTACAAAATGATTTTTTATTAATCTGAGCTCAAAACCTCTACTATTATTATACTAAGCTCCAATCATATATTATTTGGAAACATTGCTTTAATTTCCTGGGTAGCTTAAAATTCAGAATTTTCTAGACTAAAAATACATTCAATCATGAATCATATCTAAGTTGAGAAGAAAAACATTGATTGAAAATTGTACATATTTTTTT